AAAGATTACACAGGCCGACAAAATGTGACATGGGTTGATGTCCAGGCCTGCCACCATTTTATTTCGATAAATAAGGCTTTTCTAAGCATAAGTTGACACTACGCCTATAGTCCATCACCTCTGGTATTTGCGGTATCTTTAATTTAAGAAAATCACAAATTTTCTTCATCTTTTGGGATATTTCTTTAAGAGTGGTCCACCAGGTTTGGTAATCTTTTCGGAATTAAATAGTTACATGTCTCTTGTATACGGTCGTTTTGGAAAATTTAATCTAACTCAACCACACGAGGAGGTGGGCGCATTCAAAATTTTAAAGTCACAGCAAAGTTTAAAAATCTTCATTTGTGAACAGCGTTTAAAAATTAAATAAAAATATTTTCTTCTACGATGCATTTTTGATCCAAAGACACCTTATGTCCTTAATTTTTAGGACACTCATCAGGTTTTTGTGAATTGTTTTGGAATTTTTAAAATTGTTTTTCTTCCTTCCTTCACAGTGACGATTCACAAACAGTGCCCAAACCTGTCACAATTTTAAATAACATATTTCTAAACGATCTAAGTAGTTTTGCTTTGAATATAAGCACATGAGCGTAGGCTACTAATCTTTGGGGGCTGAAATGCCTGAAGTGTAATCCCCCTCCAGCTTTTAGCTTACGCCCATGTATAAATATTTTTAAAGCAAGGGTCACTTGTGCTCAAAAATAGTTATGAGTTACGTAAAATAGTGACAGGTTTGGGCACTGTTTGTGAATCGTCACTGTGAAGGAAGAAAGAAAAACAATTTTAAAAATTCCAAAACAATTCACAAAAACCTGATGAGTGTCCTAAAAATTAAGGACATAAGGTGTCTTTGGATCAAAAATGCATCGTAGAAGAAAATATTTTTATTTAATTTTTAAACGCTGTTCACAAATGAAGATTTTTAAACTTTGCTGTGACTTTAAAATTTTGAATGCGCCCACCTCCTATTGTGGTTGAGTTAGATTGAATTTTCCAAAACGACCGTATAAAAGAGACATGTAACCATTTAATTCCGAAAAGATTACCAAAATTGGTTGACCACTATTGAAGATATATCCCAAAAGCCGAAGAAATTTTGTGATTTTCTTAAATTAAAGATACCGCAAATACCAGAGCTGATGGACTATAGGCGTAATGGCGACTTATGCTTAGAAAAGCCTCATTTATCGAAATAAAATGGTGGCAGGCCTGGACATCGACCCATGTCACATTTTGTCGGCCTGTGTTATTAAAAGACAAAATTTATTTTATTACTCACCTTTTTATTGTTTTTTAGATTAAAATTAACTATTTTCACTTTTTTACTTTTTCCAACAAATTTAAAAATGATGTGACCCTGCATTATATTCTTGATAATACCAAAAGAAATACCAGATACATTTGGTGTAAATTTCGTTGTAAAGTTCGGTCACACTTTGGCGCCGAATTAGTATTTCGTTTAAACAATACTTTTCAGGGACCGTAATCATTAAAGGTTACGTACATTATAGGTATATTAGGCATTTTTCGTGTTATTAATACTACCAACACGAATTTTTATTTTTTAACAACACTTAAAAATGGCTTAGGCCACGATCTGACGATCAAATTATTTTATTTCACAGAAAATATTTAAAAATGTATAAAACAATAATAGTTTTCTTTGTAATTTAATGGCAATCCTTGATAAATGTGATCAAATATTTTAATCGTCTTACCGTGGCTTTTCTTTATAATTTTTTTTTGAATCCCACATTCATTCTTATTATTATTTGTAAACATTTTGAGTAAAATAAATTAAAATCATCAATAAATATTATGATTATAGTCATTTTGATTATAATTATTTAAATTAATTTATTTGATTAAAAATTAATAATATTTTTTCTACGAATTTTAAAATTACTAAAAATTTAAGATAAATGTGAGAACAAGATTTTTGGTTTTGGTGTAAATCATAGGATTTTTTAATATTATAAGTTGCTGATTTTTTTTGTTAAAAGAATTATAATCGTAGTGCCACAGAAATCACACAGCACATAAGTTGCTTGATAGCGATGCTACTCAGAAACCCACCCCCATTTAACGCTCAGAAATTATCTACACAACGCCGCCTGCAAAAAGGAACAGGATTTCAAGAACACAAAAACAAACTTCTCACTTTCCCGCTGGGTAAAATCACCACAACTTTGTAATGTTTCGACTTAGCACTCAATAAAAAAATAAATTGATTTCATTTAACAATAAAAACTCACCTTGTTCTCGAATATTTTTGGTCGCAAAGTTGGGCTCCAGCTGTTTTTGCAGTGCTGCACAATCTCACATTGGTACAGTGTTGTAAACTGTGGAACACTATTTCTCCCTGTCGAACTAAATTCGAAACGACATTTGATATTTTTTCATATCAAAGTCATACGATTTCATATAAATTGTAAATATACTTGTTTTAAATACCGAATTAAGTATTTTTTTTTTTAAATTAATATGAAATAAGATCAAAATAATATTTATTCATGTTAGAATGTTATGACAAAACTTGATCTTAAAAAAGATCAAAATAACCAACAAATATCAATTTGATATTTTGTCATATTTTTTTCTGTGTAAGTAAATAGTCATTTCACAACAACAAAATACACACAATTAGCAAAGACACAAACCCAAAGCAAAAACAAAATACACGTAACTATTTTAATAGTTACGTGACTATCTTTGTTGGTCAATTTTACCAAGCAAATTTTTTTGTGTGCAGTTGAGAAATTCTTACCCATCTATTACATGGAAATACTTTTGAACATTCACATACATATATTTGCCTTTTTTTCCAGGGATCGCAAGTAAGAGTTATTTTTTTTTAAAAAAATTTGACAAATAACTCTTATGCTTCAATTTTTATTATAAAAATCAACAAATAAGAGTTACTTGGCAACTTTTATAATAAAAATTGAAAATAAAAATTGATTTGAAATAACTCTTGAACTGTGGGGTACATTGGTTTAAAATTTATATATGTATAATCTACGCTTTAATACCTTTCTGTTGATATGCCATATGTCCCCAACATATTTTTATACCCTTGTAGAGGGTATTATAATTTCAGTCAGATGTTTGCAACGCAGTGAAGGAGACGTTTCCGACCACATAAAGTATATATATTCTTGATCAGCATCAATAGCAGAGTCTATCTAGCCATGTCCGTCTGTCCGTTTCTATGCGAACTACACACAAAAAAATTTGCTTGGTAAAATTGACCAACAAAGATAGTTACGTAACTATTAAAATAGTTACGTGTATTTTGTTTTTGCTTTGGGTTTGTGTCTTTGCTAATTGTGTGTATTTTGTTGTTGTGAAATGACTATTTACTTAGTAGAATTGACAATTTTGCTGGTTGGGGCCTGTTTGACAATTATTACAGTTGATTTTACTAAGTTTTTTTATACCCTTGCAGAGGGTATTATGATTTCAGTCAGAAGTTTGCAACGCAGTGAAGGAGACATTTCCGACCCCATAAAGTATATATATTCTTGATCAGCATCACAAGACGAGTCGATCTAGCCATGTCCGTCTGTCCGTCTGTCCGTCTGTCCGTCCGTCTGTCCGTCCGTCTGTCCGTCTGTCCGTCCGTTTCTACGCAAACTAGTCTCTCAGTTTTAAAGCTATCGGGATGAAACTTTCGTAAAAGTCGTATTTCTATTGCAGGTAGTATATATGTCGGAACCAACCGGATCGGACAACTATATCTTATAGCTCCCATAGGAAGGATCAAAAAAAAAAACGTAAAAAAATTCTAGCTCCGATGTTTTTTGAAATTTTACCTTCTACTCTTGGGAATATTTTTTTTTATATATTTCTAAATTTCGGTTTTTTTGTTTTTTAAATCGGATTACTATATCATATAGCTGCCATAGGAACGGTCGAAAAATTAAATGGAAATTCATGGGAAAAAAATTATATCTTTGTTGGTTTTTATTACATTTCCTTCTACTCTGGGATATGACTATTTTGAAATATTTCCGAATTTCGATTTTAATTTTCAAAAGATCGAACTACTATATCATATAGCTGTGATAGAAACGATCGAAAAATTAATGTGAAATAATACGAAATTTAACATTTTTGCGATTTGTAAATTAATAGAATGATCTGCTTCGGCAAGCCGAAGCTAGCTTCGGAATCAACAAATAAGAGTTATTTGTTAACTTTTATAATAAAAATTGAAGCATAAGAGTTATTTGCCAACTTTTATAATAAAAATATTAATATTAAATATTATTTAAAAAGGTAACTCTTTTTTGCGATCCCTGGTTTTTTCGACGTTATTTCCGTTCGCCTTGGTGCATTTTTTTCGATTGACAGGCTTAAACCCATGACAGTCACGCTCCACGGACCAAACCGGAACCTCGATTTTGATTTACAACCGCTTACTAATGTTGAGCACTTAAGAGAGCAATTTGAATAAACAAGAAAAAAAAAACAAAATAGCTATAAAGAAACCTCATGTAATATGGAGTCATTGGCCTCCAAGTGAGGTTATTGGGACTCTTGAATTTTTGTTTAAATGGGAATGCTGAGGCTTAAACTGGGTTAGATACGTTTTTTGCAAAACACAATCTTCGGTTTAAATTTCCTCATACCAGGAATTATAATTATAATCTCGAAGAGCTTTGAGTACTCTTTCCCGCTTGCGGAAGTGTACAAGTTTTACTGTCTTGGGGAGTTGAAGCAGTTACGAACTGAAAGCCCATTGTGGCATATATCCATAATTAAGTTGTTGTTTATTAGATGAATAAAAATTATACAAAAGAAAACGAAGACAAAATTATAAAATGTTTTTATCCAAAAAGCCGTGGCTCTTCTGTCAACTATTATACCCTGCCAAAGGTAGCAGTATATGCTGACCTTGCATTAATCCGCCGAAGTTTTTGCAGGTCGAGCAGTCCGCTGGGAATGGCAGCTACTGGCTTTGGTAGTTCTTATTTAGAGTTTGCCTTGCGAGGTTAATGTTACAATCGTCATCGTTGTAAAATGCTGAACTGGAGAAAAAGATCGTGGACGCTAACCCTGCTGGCAATGGTTTTTATCCTGTCCACTTCCGCCCAGGAAGGGGGCATGTCGAACAGGATAGCGACACCGGGTGAGCCCCTCTACTATCTGATGGCGGATGCGGGTCCTTTGGTGACCCCAAATGAGTCTCTGAGACGCACGAACCGCTCGCTGCTCAAGTGGTGGGATGATCTGTTCCCCCGCAACAACAACTGCTGCAGCAGCAACGTGGTGTATCCACCAGCTCCTCTTGCCCCCGCTCCCACTGTAGCTAACAACTGTAATGGCCTACAGCTCCAGGACCTGGATCCCTTCAAGCAAATGAAACTCTTCAAGAAACTCCCAGAACTCTTCCCCTCACCCAATCCCTGTGTGCAGTGTGCCGGCAGTTGTGGTCAGCTGCCGCAAAAGGAGAACAACTATGGGCCACAGAGTCCTTCCTTTGGCGGTGATGGTTATGGTGTGCCACCCAGCGCAGAGATTGTCAAACCCAATCCAGAGTACAATGGCCCCGGAGATGGCGATGCGGGGTTTGTAGCGCCGCCAGCTCCATCATTCGAGGCCCCAGCACCTCCAGTTCAAACTTACGAAGCTCCGGAACCACCTGCTCCATCATACGAAGCCTCTGCAGCTGATTACAATACTCCTGCTCCACCAGCTTTCATCTACGATCCGATAGCACCAATCTACAACCAACCTGAGCGCCCATCCGAAGTCTATAGAAAGACGCAAGAGTACGCACAGCCAAGTTACGTTGGAGCACAACCTCCACAAATTGTTTACCAACCCATTATCTACGTCTCCACTCCTCTGGCGTCCCAATCGTCTTACCATGCGGAAATTGATGACCAGAGGTATGTTAACCCGACATCTCTATCACCATCACCACCACTACCACCTACTTCCGTTTACGAATCACCACGGGAAAGCTGTCAGCAGCCGGCGGCCCCACCAAAACCCAGCTATGCCACGCAGTCGTGTCAAACTCCAATCCGTTTGTCGCTCATAGATCAACCATACCGAGTGGCCCCGGAACTGTTCGAGGAATACAACTATCGATTGGCTTTGGCTTCCCAGAATATCTTGTAGTTAAGGAATCCCGGATGCTTGACGAATCTGTAAATAAAAGTCTTCTCATGATTTCCGCCTTTGTGTTGGGTTGGTTGGGTCATTTTGCAAACTTGTAAACTCAAAGGCAAAGTTTGTATTGCTAACACTTTCACGATTACGTCTGCAAAAAACGTGTTTGCTAAAAAAATTTGTTTGTCCGTTTTGTCAATATTTTTGCAAATTCAAATAAAATAACAATTTGTTCTAATATTTTTTGATAGAAGCCCACACTGATAAAAAAATGGAATAGTAAATTTAAATATCCTCCTATTAAATCCAAAATCTCATATTTGGTTTTTAAATTTAATACAAAAAACATTGTATTAAATACGAAACATATTAAAATGCCTAGTTTAATATTAAAATATTTAAATCCATGAAGGATTTATTTATTTGAAAAAGTTTTATATTTATTGTTAATGTTTTCAGAATTAAAAAAAACCGTATTGAAATTAAAAATGTTTCATATTAATTTTACCTATTTAAAATATTAAAAAAAAGATTTAAATTAAATTATTTTAAATAAAATTATCATTAGGAAAATGTTATATTTTAAGTTGTAGAAAGTTTTAAAAGTTCGCGGACATGTTAACTTCACATTTAAATTGAATTTATCCACTCCCGCGTAACATGGTGCGATGGCGCAATTGGTAAGGCGTCTGGATCTAATGCGGGAGGACCCGCGTTCAACACCCAACTAAGGCAGAGTGAGTAAAAAGTTTTTATGATGTATCTCTAACACTTCCATAACAATTTGAAAAACAATACTGTATTAAAAAATTTGTTGATACAACCAAAGTGTATACATACATAGAGAGGACATCCCATATAAAAAAGTATGTCGTATGGCGGGTTCTAGCAGTGGAACCCGCAGTTTAACGGTAGAACCCGCACTGCTCGATTCTACTTGGAATCTAGTCGGCCGCGGCACTGTTTGCCATTTGGCCTAGTGGATAAGACATCTGACTACCAATCTAAGCGGTACGTGGATCGAATCCCGCTGTAGAATTTCGATTTCTTGCGAGGGCAAAATTTTTTTTTTGTTTTGGCCGTTTTCTTGTTTGCCTGTTAAATTTCTCCGATTTCCCATTCGATTTCAAGGTTTTAACCTACTTTAAATTTAACAAACGGACGAGAAAACGGCCCTAAAGCTAGGAACACACGATGTAAATAATTTGCAGCAAGTTGATTGCTGCAAATTGCTGCTAACTAATTTGCTGCAAATTTTTTGAATCGTGTATGCCTAGCTTAAGAGTATTTATTATTTTTTTGTGTTTTTGTATTGTTTTTTAGGAGCATTTTAAATTTTGTTTTGTTTTTTTTTCTTTCTTGTAATTACTATTGATCATCAACGGGTAACACTATTAGTAAATAGATAGATCTTAAAAAAATATTAAATATGGCTCATTCCACGTGAAACGTGACAGGCCCATTTGGGTCAAATCTCAGAATCAATCGAAACTTTTTTTTTCGATAGAGGATTGAAATATAAGGATCGGTTTTTTTTTTTTTTTTAACTCTTACCGTTTATTTTTAAAAAATAATTTTCTAATTAAGCTTCGATTTTTCAGTAATGCATCACTTGAGACTCGTTTGAGTTATTTCAACATTTGGTATGCAACATACTGGAATATGTTCATGTCTTTCAGAAAAATAATTTTAAAAATTTTTTAATTTAAAATTAAGTATTTTTTAAGGGAATTTTAAATTAAAAAAATTCTGTACGCCGGAATACACGCGATTTCCGAAAAAAATAATTATCCTCATGTTGCTTTATCAATTCTTCACGGGGTGGGTAAAAAAAATGTTTGTATTTGCAATGTTTACTAATTTAAATCGAATTAAAAGTGCAGCAAGCCAGGGCCAAAAAACCAATCAAAGTGTCAAAACAGCTGTTCGCCATGCCTACGTCACAGCGCACACTATATCCGTCCTCTTCTAACCGGCGCGCGCAAGTGAACAGCACAGTGCTTAAATTTGTAAACAACCGCATTTTTTTAAAAGTAATAACAAAACAGTAACAATTCTTTATTATTTCTTAAAGATAGGAACATTTCACTTTTTTGGTTTGATAGAGATGCTGTGGTAGACAAATTCATCGTTTTTTGAAAAAGTTTTACATATTAATGTATTTTTATTTGCAACTGCAAAGTGGTGATATTGCCGTGTATCCTTTACAGATACTGCTTTTTTAAAGCGTTTTTCCATTTTGATATCGTGCATCTTATGTTCCGCCATTGAACAAAAATCAAAATCAATATTTTGGAAATAATCCTTTGCCCAGTCGTACAATTTACGAGGAGTGTTAATCGGATTACCTTCGATCCTTTGTAAGCTCGCTCGATAAGCTTGCCGTTTGACAGCACCACCAATGCCATCGCAAGCTCCTTTTCCATGCGAGGTCGCAAAGAAATTCCACTCCGCTTTTACTTGAAAATCTCTTTCGTGGTACAATAAATTTAGAAAATTGTATTTATTTTTGTATTGCGAGGCAGCCCCGTCTGAAAAGTATACTAATTTTTCTACACTCAGAAAAAAAATCGCCCTTAGTTTTAGAAAATCGCCCGTGATTTCAAATCGCCATTGAATTAAGAAAATTTTTCTAGATTATAGAAAAATTTTCTTAGGTTTATGGAAATTTGCCATAAAATTTTTTATAAAATGAATAAGAAGAAGAATAGTTGATTTTTTTCTTGGATTAATGGCGATATTTTCTTGGATTAATGGCAATATTTTCCGGACTTTTTTCTTGAGTTAATGGCGAAATCGCCTTTGATTCTAGAAAATAAATACCTATTTTTTAGGAAAGTTGTGTAATTTTTTAAAGTTCTAGTATGGTGGCCTAGCTGTTAGAGGCGTTCGGACACTAAACATGTGTACAAAAGTCGCCGCGGAAACCGCGGTTCGACTTCACGCAGGGACGAGTCTGATTTTTTTTTTAATAGTTATTGTTTTTATTTTTGGTATAAAAAATCTTTTGTTTTGGTTTTCCATTCACTAAATTGTTAAAACTGTTGTTAACAAGATTTACCAATTTACCAATAATACGACCGTTAACACTTTAGGCATCTTAAGCCATTGCATTGCAAGAAGCACGCGTGGCCGAGTGGTTAAGATGTCTGTCTATGGTGTGAGCGGTCGCGAGTTCGAGTTCAGGTCGAGGTAAGAATTTTTCCTTAAGTCTTTTATATGTTTACAAAAAGTTTTTTCTGTACTTAAAATGCATTGTAATTAATAAACATTTATAATAAATTTGAATTTAAATTAAATAAATAAATAAAAATGTACCCTATTGTCACGATATGATTGTCATTAAAACATGAAAAGGTTTCCTTCCTCTTAGTTAACAAACCAAAAAGTGATAAAAAAATCAGTCGGACAAAAATTAAAAAAAAGTTTATAAACAAATATACTTTTATTTTTCTATTTTTAAGAAAATTTTTCTTAATTTTAGGGTTTTTTGCCGTAAAATTCAGAAAAATTGGTAATGATTTTTAGAAAGGCAAAACCGTAAATTCAAGAAAATTATTTCCCATTATTAATGGCGAATCGCCGTTGGCTGAAAATCATAGGCGATTTTCTTGAATCAATGGCGAATTTCTTGAATCAATGGCGATTTTTTTTATGAGTGTATATGTCGATTTCCAAATTTTGTTTTTAGATAAGTTATCAATTTTGTGTTAAACAAATGGACGGATCCTGTATCATGCTGGTTTTTCTCGGAAATTATTACAAAACTTAAATGTTTCGATTGATCTCCTTCACGAAAATAAATTACGTACGGATGGATCGTGACCTGGTTGTTTGTCCAGTGATGAGATTGGATTGCGTTTTGTATATGAAAAGCGTAGTTTTCAGCAAAGTCTAAACTTACAATAAGCTCTCCCTTTTTCGCAGTTTCTTTTTTTTTACAAAATACGAAGCCTGTGTTTTTGCTAGAAAATCGTGCTTTATATACAGAATTAGTTCCTTTCCAAGGTTTTCGAAGAAGCTTTTCACGTTTTCTGTTATCTCCTCTAGATCACACCTACATATATAAAGAACGAGAATTAAATGGGTAAAGTACCAAATATTTCAACAATTTACCTGTCGGTACTTATCCATTGAGTAAGAGTAATCGCTGAGATTTTCTTATTGAAGAAAAGCTTTTTTAGACTTGAAACTGTTTTTTCAACTCCCGGACAATTCTGACACAAGGACAGGAAGCAATTTGGCTCTGAATTTTCGCACACGGATTTTTGTGCAATGCTGTGTGCAGTTTCTTCAAAATCGACTCCAAACTTTCTTAGATTTTGCTTTATTCCATAGATTTTGAGGTCCATGTTTTGGTGGATTTTACATACACAGACATTGTGTGTGCCATTATGACCAGCCAAAATGCATTCTCGAGGTCTTAATTCACAAAACTTTGAGAATCCTATTTCACATTCAGGAAAATTAAGCTTGTACTGTCTGTACAAGTTATCCAAATTAAAAAGCAGAAGCCTTTTCTGCGCCTTTGCCTTTTTGTTGTCCTTTATAACAGTTACAAAATCCCTCACACCCGGTACACCCAAAAAAAAATCCGAAAGTTTACAGTTAATGAGCGTTGTATTAAAAGTATACTACAGCTAGTGTTAAACTGTCGGTATTAATTCAAAACTAAATAATGTAGGGAGCAGACTCAATAGTGTTAAGTTAAGACTAAATAGTATTAAGTTTATGCCCTGAGTTTAATTTCTATACCGAAGTTTCGATTTTCGTACCTGGTGTGAGGCCAGGATGCTCTGTTTTGGAACCTGGACATTTCGAACAGAAAAAGTGTTACCGCTTTTTAATGTTATTCGACGCGTTAGTATTTTAATGGTTTGACATTAGTGTATTTTGTTAACGACGCTGCGGTCTGTTTAAGGTTTGTTTGTGAAAATTACTTGTGAAAATTTTAATATTTGCTTATTTTGGGCTTATTTGAAATGTAAGTACATTTAAATTGTGTCTTAGTGCATAACTAATGAGTAAAATCTTTTCTTTTTACTGACACCACCTTGAAT